TGGAGAAATCAAAAAGTATTGAGTGAAATCTAGTGGTCATTTGTTAATTCTGTAGGAGTAAGTAACTCTGAAGACAGATGTTTATTCTGCCGCTTCTCGGACACAGAAATTAGGTTTAATAAAGTTAGTGATTTCCTCAAGACTACGATCTGCCTTCAAACTGCAGTTAAGCTAAGCTAAGCTAATGACAAGAGTAACATCACACAATATTTTTTTCCGTTATTTTTTCCACATTGATAAACATTGAGTGGTTCATTTGTCTTCGTAACTGACCTCTAAGACCCTCTGGTACAGCTGCTGCTGGGTCAACTGCTCAGCTGGCTTGCACACGGCAAAGAGAGGGTTAACAGGAAGACAGTGGGTGGAGAATAAAGATGCAGTGGGAGGCAAAGGAGGACCAACAAGGCTGATTCCCGTCTGAGTGGGAGGCACAGAGTGAGGTTTGACATCTTCCTGTGGCAAAGTAAGAGTGGGGGTGCTGCTCCTATCTCCAACTGATCCAGTTCTCTGGGGAGTTGTGGGTCTGCTGTCCAGTCCAGCTCCAGCTCCAGCTCCAGCTCCAGCACCAGCACCAGCTCCAGCTCGACTTCCACACCTATGGTCCCTGTGAAACACCAGTTCCTCTTCCACAACCAGATCCCTCTCCAGAGAGGCCACCAGGCTGATCATGGAGTCGAAGCCTAACCAGGACAGAGTCAGGTTCTCGTGGTATGTCTGGCCGTAGCATACTGCCAATTTTTTCAGGGGGATCCCAACTTGGTGCTGCTTCACCATCACCACTATATTCTCCAGAATCTTCTTCCTGCCTTTTGTAACTTTTTTTGATGCTCCGGCTGAAGCTCCAGCTACAGCTCCAGCTCCACCTCCACCTGCAGCTCCAGCTACAGCTGCAGCTCCAGCTCCACCTCCACCTCCACCTCCACCTCCACCTCCAGCTCCAGCTCCAGCTCCAACATGGTCCCTGTGAAACACCAGTTCCCCCTTCACAACCAGATATCTATCCAGAGACGCCACCAGTTTAGCCATGGAGTTGAAGCCCAGGTCGGACAGAGTCAGGTTCTTGTGGTACGTCTGGTTGTAGAACACAGACAGTTTTTTCAGGGGGATCCCGGCCGGGTATTGCCTCACCATGGCCACTATTTTCTCCAGAATCTTCTCCATGTTGAGCAATGCTGTCAGGGGAAGAAGACACCACCATTATACACTGCAGAGTATTTGACCGGTCGTCTGTGCTCTCACCAATAAGTTTCCTACAGTGTTTGTGGTTCAAATAACGTCCTTTAAAACACACAGAGGGATACAACAGAGAATGATCTTAAATGTCAAAGAGGGAGGGAAAATACTTCTCAACATAAACTGTCAATACTGGGGCTGCCAATTAGAGAATGACTGCCTGGCTTTGGATTGATCTACATTTCTGCATTTGTCTTAAAAAATGTTCAGATCTTAGTCTAAAATATGAACAAGCACAATCTATTTACATTGTGTTGTTCTCGTCACATTCACAGTGCAGTTTGTGAACCAGTAAATGCCAAGAAATGTACAACCCAGCTGAGTGTCGGCGGAAGAAGCTCAGAATCATGGAGCACGAAGCTGCTGCTCTCCAAAACAAACCATCTTTTCACTTCGCCTACAAATGAAAGGCTGAATCAATCCACTAAGTTATGATGTGCGGCTAGTTAACAGTCAGTCGTCAGGTAACACTCAACAACCTCAGGCTCCTCGGACCGAGAAGAAGAAGCTAACTGCTAACTGAAGACACGACAGGTGAGGAGAGCAGTAAAAACAAAGATCGAAAGAGCGACCAAGAAAACTTTCAGATAAAACTGCAACATCTGCAAAAGTCACCAGGAGGACACCTGACCTGTGACCTCAACACTAAATCAGTTCGCAAAGCAACATCTCGATAAGACGGAGTCATTATGGAAACAAGTGCCACACCCACTAAACAAGTCCGGACACTTCGCCAGCTGTTGATGATTCAACAGATTCAACGAAACACCGGAAGATTATGGATGAAAAATGTCCTGCCGTCAGTAAGAAAGTGAAAGTGAAAAGAGGCTTCTACAACGAAACAATGATCCACACAGTAGTAGATGTTATTTATATTGTCTATGAATAATATCACAATACACAATCTATATCTGGATACTTTGAAATCTCCTCTAAAGCTGTTCACAAATGTGAGTTTTAACTCTTTGATGCATAAAAACTCAGCAGTGATGATTCTAGTCCGTGCAACATTCAAATCTTCTTTTCTACTGTTTGTTTATCAGTGGTTTCTATGGGAACAATTTCACATTTGCATCCAAGAAGACAGAAATCACAAATTAAATTTAACCCTGAACAAAAACTGAACTCAAAGAGACAGAAAAGTTCATCAACAAGAATCGAGAGAAAGACTTTGAACTCAGAGCTGCTTCTTCTCTGAACCAACTCATCGCCTCCATCTTCAGTTTGATCACATATAAACTCACTCACTTTAGTGCTGCACTTCTTTCCCTTTCTCACACACACACACACACACACACACACACACACACACACACACACACACACACACACACACACACACACACACACACAGGAGTGTTTTCTGGATGGGAGAGAAGCCAAACGCCAAAGAGAATTTCATGCCAACAGCTTAAAACAATTACGTGATAATTTGTGTTACACTGTTACAGTCCAGGTGGAACAAGCCACAATACATCAAGTACATTCATTATAATCCAAATCCACTTAAAGAAACACAAGCTGAACCCTCGCTGACCTCTGACCTGAACATCATTGAAAATCTGTGGGAGCCTAAAAATATCTGAGAACTCAAACTGCAGAAGTGGATGCAAATCCCTCAATCAAGAACAGAACCAGCAGCTGCTGCTGAGACATCTGCTCTATAAGGTCTCTGAACTTTTACACAGTTACTGTCTACAGTGTTGTTCTAAGTTATGAAATAAAAAGCACCAGTGCACTGACATTCAAAGAGAGGCTTTGCTTTCAAACTTCTGCACACAGGTTTACACACATACAGCACAACAGACTGTTTATCTACGGTCAATGATCATCTGATGCAACCACCTCTTCTCAAAAATGAAACCCATCTAGTGTATTTTTACTTTGTTAAACCACATTACAGAAATAATCAGCACTTGTGCTAATTAGCCAGCGTACACAGTCAACAGTTTAAATCTGCATGAGCCATAAATAGAAAACAGAACTCAGGTCTGTCTTACCTATTCTTTCAAATGAGAAGTTGTGCGGTTCATCTCCGTCACCAGTTGAACTGCTGTGTATCACCCAGCAACAATCTTCCTGTTTATAACCTCCCCTGCCTCCTCCTCCCCCCTCCCCCACTGTGTTTCATTCTAGGCTAAATTACAGAGAATGGAAAGTGAAAGTAACAGGCAGGCTCATTCAGATCTATGGCTGACTGACCAGCTGCCACATTCTCATATTCCTGGAAATGGTCACAACACACAGGCATGACAAGAGGCAACCATGAAGCAGGTAGAAACAGATGGAAGCAGTAGAGCAATATCAGGGCCTGTCTGTCATCACCTCCAGCACAGTACACCTACTTCACTTATGCTCACGGGAAATCTGCCAAGTCACGGAGTTAATGATACGACGCTGAATCTAGTTTCCGATTCGGCAGTTAAGGGAAAAGTTAGAGGCACATTTCACACATTGGACCAGGTCCAGATGAAAAACCACAACACTTTGACATGTCAAATCTGAACTGGATTATCCCAGAGTGACTAAAGACTTTCTAAAACATTCTGTTTGATTTGTGAAAGGTTTATTCTATTTGTGAAAATGCAAAAGAGGTACATTTCACTGCATTTGTCTGCATCTAAACCACATTGGACCAGGTCCAGATGAAAAACCACAACACTTAGATATGTCAAATGGACACTTGTTGCTAAGTTATGGTTCTAACCTCAGTATTGTGTTAATGATATTGTATTTACAAGATAATGTAATGAGGAAACTAAGTACAAGTGCACTGTAAGGAGACATCAATGACAAATCAAGAGCAGGAGGGGTGATGTAACAGAGGAGGGAGGAGGAAAGAAAAACTGGCTTTGAGTTTCACATTCCTGTCCTTGCCCAGCTGATTCACCAGCTGATGTGTAAAAACCATGTGATGTGATATCAATAACATTTGAGCGGTAAAAACAAACCTGTACTTAAGGAAATGAAACAGAGGCTCTGTGTAAAAACTGTGGATGTCAGGACATGTTACACCTCTTTAAATCCGTCCAGCTCTTGCTTCATTTCTTCCTTACTTAACTTCTAGCTGATGGTGATTACACAACCAAGAAAAGGAGCAGAGCACCACCCATGATGCTGCTGCACAATCCTGTGAGAGGGTGGCAATGACACGAGAATACAGTGACTATTAACAGAAGTATGACACTAGTGATTGCTTTGCATTGCTGCTGTGTAGTAAATGAAAATCTTAAAGATCCACATTTTCTTCTCAGGCTCAGAGGAGGCTCTGAGCCTCTCTTCTGATTGGCTGACTGTTTTCTGACTGATCTAATAAAAATATAGCAGATTTCAGGTAAAACACTCAGAGAAACCAAATCCTGCAAGGTTTGGATGGTGGGTCCAGGTGGGCGGGGCTTGGTGGCTGCTTTGTTGTGACATCACAAAGTTCCAGAAGTCCTGACGGCTGGTTTTAAGGCTCAGTTTCTGAATACAGGCTGTGTGCATTTCTCTGTGGACTGAGGCTTTGATACTTTCACAGTATTAATATAGAAGCTAGAGCTGATCTATAATCACACTACACATGGCAAGAAAGACCTGGGCTGTGATCTTGGTGATGAGGAATGGTTAATAATATTATTGAACACTGGGAAATAGATTAAGGAGTCTAATGGAAAATGTGTTCAGTATAAGATAATACAAAGGTTTCATTTTTCTCCTTCTAATCTTAGGCTGGAAATTACCAAGACTGTGCTTATCAGGGGACCAAACAGAATTGCCCAATACATCAAAATATGACTTTACAATGATAAGGGTAAGTGTCATCACGGCTGTCCAAGTGATCGTCCTTCCTCTCCAGATCTTAAAACATGGATAGAGTCTATGTTAGAGATAGTATCATAGGAACACGTTAGCTAAAGTCAATTATGAAGGTGAAAACTTTAAGAGGTCTGTGTCTTGACTTGTTTATTTTGGTTTTAAATACGTATGTGTACCATGGGCCTTCTCATAACCAAAGATAATTATACTGTCTGTTTGTGTATATTGAAATACGTAAATAAATACTATAATGAAAAAACACACAAGGTGATCTTACTTTATACCCTATGGGACCTTTAAATGCAAATTTGAATTGAATGAAAAGCATCATACTTTCTTTATCCATATGTAACTCTGACCAGCAGTCTCTACAAGCCACAACAACATACCTTGGTGAGCGTGCAAAGATGTGGTCAGTGCATCTTATGTTCTCTCCTCCCTGGCGGGGCTGTAGCTTTCAGGACGGGGAAAACACTGTGGATGATGATGAGGACACAGGTGAGTGACAGGCCACATACTGTTTCTAATTTACCTGAACAGAGTGAAACTGAGCAGGTAAATAATTCCACCAGACCACAGTATTCTCTAACCTGTTGAGCAGAGTGACTCATGGCACATGACGTGTTGACCAACTGACCCAGTGCAGGTCATATACAGGTGTACAGTAAGTGCAGCATTCATATCCGATTATGATATTGATATTGAATATATATCTCATACATATACATTTCTCTTCCGTTATTGACTAAAATGACACATAATATATCAATATATTAAGCTGATTGAATATAAAATGATGGAACAAACTTATAACAGTTTCACTTCTGTAACAACACAGGTATACAACAACAGACAGCGACCGACTCCAGACAGACAGTAACGTAATGTCACTTCTGAGCAGCAGCAGCAGCAGAGTTACGTGCTAGCAACACTTGGAAACTCAGTCGCAAACACGAACTGAAAAGCTGGTTAAACGTGTCCGATTGACTCTCCAGCTACCTGCTATTGTGTCGGACATTTCCCGTCAGTGGCAGTTGTCGGGTGTGTGTCTCTGTCCTCACTCAACATTCTCAGTTTGTACTGAGGGAGTTACAACACAGCACCGCTGGGGCCGCTCACTTTAAGCTAGCGGAGATGCTATTCTTGCTAGCTAACGTTAGCACGGTTTAACTTCGTATTAATCACGTAAGTTAGTTAATGACGGGCTTTAAAATGGCCACTGGTACAGTATTTACATTAAGGAGTCTTAACACTGTTGCGATTAAAAATAATATGATACAAAAGAAGCGAAACTCAGAAACCTAACGGTGTTTTTGTTTACCACTGCTAGCCGGCTACCTAGCTATCATATGCTGCGTTCACGTCACACGACACAGATAGTAAATACAAATTCTCTACTGCAAAAAATGTACATGTACAAAAATGCCATTATTTCAGCCACAAAGTTTTGTTCAAACCAGCTTTATGTTAGTTAATTCTTCTCAAGAATTGGAGTGTTGTCTTGTTCTCCATTATTTAGTGAATGTTTAGCACCAATGATGAGAAAGCTGTCATCTACCTGAAGGACTTTATTTCAGTTAGTCCATGGCACTCATTAACATTTTATTATCACTGTGAAATAGTAGATCAGTTGCACATCAATAAACAACCATCAAGTTTCCAGGTTGCAGAAATATTCTTACTGAGGATTGGTGTCAGTCGGGTTTTCTCACAGGTAGTTCAATGCAGACATCAGTATAACAAAGTAACAGTTAAATTCTTGAACTACTACTATACAGTAGACAGAATCCTGATTACTGAACATAATATTGACTTATTGTCACTTTAAATATGAGAAAAATGGTGAAAAAAGTGCTTTGTGCTCCGTAAATAAACTGCCCCAGATAGCAAAATAGATCCAGTCCACGTGCTTGTTTTCTACTGGCCCAGTATACACCTGGTACACCTGCCAACATGTGGAGGTATATGGGCTAGTTTCATTTTGCTATCTGGGGAGGATGATGGGTTGTCTAAACTGCAGCTTGGAAACAGTCCTGACACTTTATTTATTCATTAATATTCATGAATATGTTAATATTGTAATCAAGGATGTGATAATACAGTGATTTCTGGATAAAATGTGAACATACAAACAAGTGTTCATTCCCAGTTAATTTCATTTCCTTGCTGGCGTTTGGCTAGAATGTAAAATATGATATAGATCACCTCCAATAACAATGGAAGAGAATTATTATTTATTGAAAAACACGACATCACCTGCAAATATTATGGAAGGTTTAAAATGGCTAAATTAAAACACATCTATTGAAGAAATAACGTTAAATATAATACACATTGTTTCCTGTGTTTACATCTACTTTGTCATCAAATGAAAACAAGTGAATTAATTGATTTTCATTGTGACATATTTTTTCCATGACACATTAAATTAAAACATGATATTTACATGTTCTTCAGCAGAGGGCAGCATTGACCTGCTAATGCTAAATATAAAGTACTGGGGGCGGGAACATGTGGAGCTATCATCAATTAATAACTAATAATCAACACAAAACAGTGGTCATTATATGAATGGTACAAATTGTTGAACATTTTGTAGGTGCAGCAAATGATCACTTATTTGCTATCAGAAATTAACAACAATAATAATAATAATAATATTAAAATATTGATATTAACTAATAACTTAAATTAGTATTTAAGAACCACCTTGACCAGGGAATTGATTGTTAATTCACTGATTCATCAATTTGGAATCTGAAACTCTGATTAATAATTAATCTAATAACCACAACTAAAATAACCAGATCAATAGTTAGTAAAAGTTGAAGGTTGAAGTTCTGCAGAGTTTGAAAGATTAAAGGTAAGCAGCAAAGCATTTATTTAAAAGATAACAAAAGTAAAAACACACAATGTCTCATCTGAGATATAATTATATATACCGCTCCTACACATGGCTCCTGTTGTTTGAAGAAAAACTGAGCTGGCAGACTTTGTTTTATAGCTGCTGGTGCTAAATTAAACTTGTTGACTCACTGCTGCTGTGAAAGAGAACAGAGCAGAGGTCTGCTGCAGCAGGTCTGCAGAGGAGAGAGCAGGAAGAGAAGAGCTGTTGCTGCCTCTACAGTTTCCCTGAAGAAGAGACAGAGAGCAGGAGGTTTTGACCTGATGTGAAGGAGAATTCATAAGGACTGAGCAAAAGAATCTGAATGCGCACTCACACTATGATTTTTTGAAATCAACTTTATTTATAACACATGGACAATGAATACTTTACTAATCACAAAAACCTTTTGGATTTTTTTTTTTGATTGAAATGTTGAAATAAGATAACATGAAAGGAATACACAAGTAAAAAGAGTTTTAAATGTTGTTGCAGCAAGGAATTGTGGGATGGCATTTCTCCTTTCCTTTCATAGAGGAAGCTCCAGTGTTTCCTATGCTGACGGACATAAGACTGATAGAGACAGTCTTCCTAATTCAATTGGACGGAGGCAACACCTGAACACTAATATTTATTCAAGGGGAGAGTTCCTGAACGCAGCACTGAGGAGAGCATGAACTGAATAAACAACATGAGGAAGATGAAGTCAGTGAGAGGATCTAAATGTCAGTTTTGAGAAGGACACACGTCTGTGCATCGTTCATGCATATGTTCATTAAGTTTATTTTAATCCCAGACAAATTTAAACTTGACATCCTTCATTTTGTCTTTGTAGACTGTATCAAAGTGCTCCGCCTCTGACGCTGTCAGCTGGTTTTTCCAATCTCCAGCGATTCCTGAAACACAACAAGAGGAAGCAGATCACATGTGAATAAACAACATGTTGTTTCCTTATTTTGAGTGAATATTTCGTAAGGTAGGTAAAGTATTATTCAGTGAAACACACCTTTCCTGAGGAACTCAGACTTGGTCTGGTCCATGAATTGGGGAGGAACAGCAGAGTAGTTTGACATGTTGTTCTGCTTCATGTTCTTGAACAAACAGCGCTCTGCTATCTTCTCTATCACCTCAGAGTCCAGAGGTTTCTCCAGGAACTGAGCGAGTCTGGACACAGAGTCCTTCAGGTCCTGAACCAGAGAGAAGCACAGCAGTGATGGGACAGTGCGACTGTGTGAGGTCAGAGCTGCTCAGAAAAGGTCTCAGAGATTTGAGGAGGAAGGTTTGAGGAGTGTCACTGAATCTCACCACGATCATCTCTTCATAGCAGATGTACATGATTCTGTCTTTATCCTCAGCGTTCAGCCAGCCCTTCACATGATCGAACCACGAGCCAAACATGACTGGAGGGGACAGAAAATCACAAGTATCATTATCATGAGTAAATTAAACTCTGTATAATCAGCTGACGGCTCCTGTCACTGTGTATCATGAGTTAATACTGAACACTGAGTCCGACCTTTTCCGTCCAGGAACTTGTGGAGGAAGTCGCTCTGTGGGCCTGGGTCCACCAGGAAGGAGGACATCCCATAATAATGAAAGGAAGATGTAAACACATCTCTGGGGTTCCTCATGACGTAGATGACCTGCAGTGATCATATGACATCCATTAATTCATTGATGAAGCCTTGAACACTGGGTCCTGTTAACGTTTCCTCTGGACCAGGTGGTTGTTTGTTTCATAGTGAGGACAGTGTGCGACGTGTGTGAACGAAGAAAGACACGTGTTTGTCACCAGAACAATAAATAAAACAACCAGCAGTTCGTTGAATTAACTGATCTACACTGATCTATTTTTTTACGTTTTTATTGTATAAATAGTAAATATTTCTTACTGTGTGAATGTTCAGTTAATGCTTAAAAGAATAAAGACATTTTATTATCTAAACATTTGACCACATATTTGTTTTGTTGTTTTTATAATATTGGAATGGAAACAGGGACTCGATAAGAACCAGAATCAGAATCATTAAAGTTCTGACGATACACAACCAAGTTTCTAGAACCACATATTAGAGAAACTGCACAGATGAGTTTCTCTGTGCCATTGACTACAAATGCTATTTAGTGTAAAACAATGTTTTGTTTGGAGCATCTGTAATATATACACATAATATATAATATGTGCAAAACACATTGACAAAGGTTTTCACTGAGGTTCCCTGTTTAGACCTCAGGACTGTGTGGACGTGATCTGTGCTGCATAATGCTGCATCAAACCTCCACCTGACAGGAAGTGTCATCAGTAACTGAAAACCCCTGTGTGGGCGTGCAGAGCCTTTTAAGGTCAGGTAACAATACCTGACAAGTCCAGTCAGGTCGATGAAAGCAGAAAGGTTATAAAGGAAAAGGTATCAGCCTTCTTCATGGCAGCGGCTGCAGTGGCTCAGTCTATGAGAGGACAAAGTGACTGACATACAAACAGACCTCGTCCTGCTCTGACAGGTGCTGCAGTCACACAGATCTACCTTTGGCTTGACTTGGAAGAAGCCTGGAGGCATCATGTTGTAGTGGAAGTGAGTAGTTAACATGCGAGGAGACGGCCTGTTCTCCAGATTCAGGATGCAGGCCCGACTCTCCTCCAACCAGGGAACACGGTCCCAGTTATGAAGACTCTCAACAGAAGCCGGATCTCCTCCGCTCACGATGAGAGGGACGATCTCCTGCATCCAGGTCGTACCTGAGGAAACAAGAGGCCTCCTGAAATATGTCGTTACACTATTGGCTAAAGCACATTTACCTTTTTATCTTTACATTTAGCTCTTATTTTGGAATGACACTACACATGGACGGTACAGAGCACAAAGCAACCACCACCAGTGGGTCAGCCTCAGTCTAAATCAGTTAAAGCCAGTATATATAGTCCAGTCCATGTTGTCCTGTTGATAAGATTCTGCTGAAAACTCTGTGAGAATCCCTTGCATCATTCTGTTAGTTTGTGTCCCTGAGCACGTTAACACCCAGGCCTCACCCTGTTTCCTTCCTGAACAATGAGCTGCTGTGGAGGGGGGGGAGCAGAAACATTGCAAATGTTCACCTAAAACAATATCAGTTTTAGTGTGCACTTTATTTTGAATTTTCTCAAACTTTTTCTTGAACTTCTGTATTCCTACGCACTTACGCTGCGCACTGTATTACTCCACAGATCAGCTGTTTGAATCACAGTCCCAGCATTTTGTGGAAAGGATGATTTCTACTTTTACTAAATTACAATTTGATGAAGGAAAACGAATTAGTCAGTTGGAGAGGATGATGTTATTTGAGGGGACGCAGAAACAGTAACAAATATAGATGTAATCTGATCCTGATGATCCAGTGGTGAGACGTAAAGTTGGCAAATATAAGAAGTAAATTTACTCAAGAAGCAGAATTCATTAGAAACCTCATGAACTGTTTTCATACTGATGATGTAACAAGCCTGAATCTGAGAAATGAGCCTTGTGATTATACAGCCATTATTCTCCATAGTTAAATTACACAATACTTCACAAACAGCTTCAGACACGGAGTCACTGCTGTTGAAATGTGATGGTTTACTACTTGGTCTGAAAACATTCCAGCAGCGAAGGTCCTGAGGGAGAAAACGAAAAAACATTCAATTTCACTTATCAACTTTTGATTTTTGTCTCAATAAGCATTGTATTCTGAAAATATGCAGTTTTACAATAATATGATTGTATTATTTATTTATATAATATAATTATTTAATTATAATGCACATTTTCTCCATTTTGAACTAAAGATTATTGAAACTGCTGTTTGTGTGTTCTGCGTTGATTTGCTACAACAACTTATTTCAATTATTTTCAACCTGTCAGCCAGCACATGCTAACTGTGTCATGTAGAAGTCAACAAAACAATGATTCAAACTAAATTTTGATTCATTCAGACTAAAGCTCAGGACAGCTTGACAAAAAAATGACTTTCATTCCTCTAAAACAACTTTTCCTGGTGAGGGAGGGTCTCACTGAGCGTGCGCAGTATGAATCTCATTACTCTAGCATGTTTCTTATTGGAGGAATAAGACCCAAGTCTCTAGTAAGAGCTTAAACACATTTGACGTCATGTATACAGGTGATAATGCAGGTTATATTACAGGTGAGCACCGGAGCTGACACTACAATTAAGTTTATCACGCAACTTAATCAATGAATTCGACTTTGTCTCCATCTGCACCGTGGGACCAGGAATACCTCCACACTCTGCTTCACGTGCTTTAACGGTAACTATCCGCTTTGCTCGTGTCCATATCACGAACCAGCCGAGTTCACGGAGAGGTCAACAGGACCAGCGCGTGTCATAGGTCAAACTGACAGTGAGTGTTTACAGCATCCTCTGCTGGATCACAACACAAACGACTTCAATCAGCCTGTCGTGCTTCAGGCTGGGAGTCAAGTGAATACGTCATTACAGTTCGAATACTAACTTTTCCTCCGCGTGTTCGAATGTTCGAATTTCGAATGTTACAAAGTAACGTAACGCACGTTCGAGTGTCACTCACCTGACTTTGGATACGTCACAATGATAATATCATCGGGGCGGAAGGTGAAGTCCTCGTAGTACTTCAGGCTCTGAGGAGGGTGCAGACCTGAGGGAACATACACACCTTTATACAGGGAGTACAGCTCGGCCTCAGTCATTGTTCACAGCAAACAGATCTCTACTGAACTGTTGAACTGTTTCACTCTAGTGTCTTCTGCTCTCTCTCTCTCTCTCTCTCTGTCTCTCTCTCTGTCTCTTTCTCTCTCTCTCTCTGTCTCTCTCTCTTTCTCTCTCTCTCTCTGTCTCTCTCTCGCTCTCTCTCTCTCTGTCTCTCTCTCTCTCTGTCTCTCTCTCTGTCTCTCTCTCTCTGTCTCTCTCTCCCTCTCTGTCTCTCTCTCTGTCTCTTTCTCTCTCTCTGTCTCTCTCTCCCTCTCTCTCTCTCTCCCTCTCTCTCTCTCTCCCTCTCTCTCTCTCTCTCTCTCGCCCTGCACAGATTAGATGATGACTGTATTTGGATATGGCATTAACTCATCTGACTCATCTATGTGCATGTGTGCCTGCAAGATGCTCAACACTGACTTTTATCTAGTTTTGAGCCACATTTAATTTTTACACCTTGGTTGTTTTCAGCTCTATATTTGAACCAGACCAAGGGTTTTAGTCATCGGACGTCTGGATGTGAAGTTATCAGAGAAACAAGCGGAGGAAATGTGAGACAGCTCAGCTCTCGGCCAATGAATCTCTGATCTTTAAAGTGAAACTGCTTTCTGGGTGTTTCTACTGGTTTTAACCCCCTGGTCTGCTTCCTATGTAGAGGAGGACACCTCTGTGATTAATTCAGCTGCTGGTTAGACATCTGAGATATCAGACTGCTGTGGAATAAATCAGAAAGTGAAACTTTAACTTTTTTCACACCAAGAAGCAATAAGCTGCAGTTCATCTGCATAAAACCACAACCACTGCCAACACTGACATCTCTGATCAGTTCACTGGGTCAAATGAAGAGTAACGGAAATAATCAGATTAAACAAAGCAATAATTCAGTGGGTAAGGCTGAGAGCAGGTCCTGGTGTGTGTGTACTGATTAGTTTTGTTTTTCTTACTTTGAAAATCATTTGATCACAAACAACTTATTATTTTACACTAAGAGGTCGAGTCATGATGTTCAACACCTTCATCTTTAATCCACAGACACAAAAGGGCAGAGGTCAGAGTTTGTGGGTGGTGGTCTGTGTTATACCCTGTGTTACAGCAAAGTTAGCGTCCTTCATCATTTCATTCAAACTGATGAAAAGCTCTTTAAGATGCAGACGATGGAGCTCTGGTTTGGTGAGTTTCCGTTAACGCTCTGTCGGATTTGATTTGTTTTAAAAGGAGCCACTGTGTCTGATACAGTGTTGAACTGTTCATGTAATAATTAGACAAAAGTCTCCACATCATCACAGTCTGACAGTACATCACGGTGCGATAGAGCTGCGACATTTTCAACTGTTCTCTGGTTAATGGTGCACATGTGAGACACATGTTAATGGGGCAGCGGATCTGTGCTGTAACTTCTTATTTACTGGACCGGCATGAGAGTGGTACTGATCCTCTGGTAGAACTTTCCCTTTAAGACATCGAGACCTGAAAATGTCTCACGGCAGAACTTGCAGCAGCTTGTTGGCCCTCTGGCTGACAGTGCTACTTAAAGAAAAGAGTGACACAGTCATGTATTTTTGTTAAGAGTTGAACCTACTCCTCTGACTCAGACACGGCAACATGGTGGAGCAGTATTAACCAATCAGAGATGTGTTTCAGAAGTATATACCTGGAATTACACCTTACACCTCACAGCTCACTTTCAAAACTGAATTTAAAGTAGAGATGCTTCTTGTTGGTGAACTGCTTCATACAAGGATCTATAGGTTCAGAAGTCACTTTTCTATGTATTATGTAACCTGTTCTTCCAGGCGAGCAGAACAAAGAGAGAGAGAGAGGCCAGAGGAGATAAGACTCAGTCGTAGTAAAGTCCATCAGTTCATTAGATGGGTGTCACTCTCTGAGTCTCTCCTGCTGCTGACATCCTGCTCATTCACTCCAACTATGACTGAGGCTGAGCTGTACACCTTGTATAAAGGCATTTATCTGCCTTTGTCTCTGCACCCTCCTCAGTGCGAGGACTTCACTTTCCGACCTGATGATATTATCATTGCAACGTATCCCAAGTCAGGTGAGTTCACTGTCACATGACAAATGTGCAGATCAGGATTATACTTTATACATGTCTTGAAAAATTAGTCTGCTTCTAAGGTTAAAGGTGCCACCACTCAGAAATGGGATTTTCTAAATTTATGTAAAAAGTCTTAAAAAAGGAATTTAATAGTAAATGTACCGGCCGGAGTCACATCTGTCCTGCGCAGCTTGGATACGATTGTTAAAGGCTGTATTTGCTGGTTTGTTGTTTAACATGTGAACAGGTTGACAGACGATTAAAGGGACAGTTCAGAATATTTAAAGTGGGGCTCTGTCAGCGTATTAATTGAGTTGCATTGTGGGTAATGGAGGCTCCTATGAAGGACAAAAAATGACATAAGTGCAAAAATAAATACATTTTGGTAATGAAAAATGCTGTATCTGTTTTTTTTACATTTATTTATTCATTTATTTACTGTATTTGTTTATATGTTCTATCTCAGTTAAGAAGTGTTGCTGCTCTTTAATACTTTGTGTTGTGTTTTTATTGAATTGGTAAAAAGTTAACTGCGATCACTGAGGTGAATTTCAGTCAGAAACATCCAATTACTGAGCTTTTAATAACAATAACATTAATAACATTAATCATGGCTGCATTCCATTTAGAGTCGGTCCTGGTGTTGTGTGTGCTGATTCACTGAAAAAGCCTTGTGGGAAACTTCATGCTATAAATCCATCTTTGCTTTTCCTGCTATGACGAGTACAAAATGTGAAAAGGTGTCACAACATTTAACATTAGTCATTATAATACCCATCAGGCACGTCAAGTCCAGTCGTATAGGACTGAGTCAGGGGCTCAGTTGTTACTAGGATCAATATCTGTAATCAGAGAAACACACTGCACTTTGATATCAGCCTGAACGCCGAGTCAACAACACATTTTAATATCAAAGACCTCTCACTCTGTCGCTCAGATGAGATGGAGATCAACTTAAAATGGACAGTTCCTTTCCTGTCTCTGTAAAAACACATTCACAGTAAAAGGCGACTGTGCTGCTGTGACCTGATCCATCATGGTTAAGTAACCACTCCAGCAAAGACGTGACTGACGAGACGTTAACAGACATCGTCGAATTTGGTCTTTTCTTAAAGTAGCAGATTTTACGTGTCACAACCAAACTCCTTACATTTTATAACCTAAACATATCTACGTATGTAATAACATATATAATATTTTTTACAGTACAATTGCAAAATCTTCCAAGTCAAAACAGAGCACAGTCCACTGACCTAACACGTACTGTACCTTTGGACCATTTCCCCTTCAAGTTAAACATCAGCTATTAACAGCTCTTTCATCACATACACATACTTTAAATATTTAACATCTTAGTCTCGATCATAAAGATTAAATATTAGTTTGATCCTTTGACAAGTTCATTTTTATGCTTTCAACACTGCATCATGATCTGCCCCTCCTGATGAACCTCCTGCCTCGACCCTGTTAAGTGTTTCCTGTTTAATTTTGAAATTATTGACCTTATGTAACGCCAGTTTTTGCCAATCAGTGTTCGGTGTGTTTGTAGCCTTGTGTTTCCTCCATTGGCAGAACATTATGTAAAGTCACAGCATGCTTCATGGCCTGGTTCCTCTTGTTTATCTGTCTTACCTGCTGGATTTGTTGTTTATCTGTTTGGCTGCACCTCCTGGTTTTTGACCCTTAAATCATTGATCTAAATGAGCTCTGGCTGAACATCTGCATTTGGGTCCTCCTCCTGTGTTGCACTATCTTCCTTGCACCAAACTTTATGGATTGTAGTTTCCCCTCATATGCCTGTATGGTGAGTGGAAGAGAGTACAAAGACGCCGCTCTGAGGGCTGCACCCGAAGACGTGTCCAAAAGAAGAGTTCGTTGCCTGAGTGGCTAAAGGACTTCGTCAACACCCCTGATCCTCAGCCTGATAGCCACCAGCCTGTTCCAGTGTTTGCTGACCCTCATCCTACTTCTTAGTTTGCCTGCAGCCTGCTTATGAGTCTACTAGCATCCAGCTAGCCTCCCAGTCAGCTAGCCTCCCTGTTGGCTAGCCTACAGCCTGCTAGCCTCCAGCTAGCCTCCCAGTTGGGTAAGCTCTGGCCTGCTAGCCTCTGGTCTGCACCCAAAACCTGCTTGTAATCTTGTTCCCTAGTCGACCAGTTTCCTGTTGGATCCTGACCCTGAGGATCTCGAGTAGTCCCCTTCTCTTTGAGACCTGTCAAGCTATTTCCCCAAGACATCTAGGGGTTGGAGTCCCTAGAAGGAAGTGTGGATGACGGAGATGTTGATCCCCCAAGCTACCCAGTTCCCCAGATCCTCAGCTGTCCAGAACTACAGATCCTTAGTTGTTCGAAACTACAGATCCTCAGTTACCCAGAACTACAGATCCTCAGTTGTTCAGAACTCCAGATCCTCAGTTGTTCAGAACTACAGATCCTCAGTTACCCAGAACTACAGATCCTCAGTTGTTCAGAACTCCAGATCCTCAGTTGTTCAGAACTACAGATCCTCAGTTACCCAGAACTACAGATCCTCAGCTGTCCAGAACTACAGATCCTCAGCTGTCCAGAACTACAGATCCTCACGTGTCCAGAACTACAGATCCTCACGTGTCCAGAATAACATAGCCTCAGTAGTCCAGCACAGAGCCTCAGCAAGGCGAGGTAGAGCTGTAGGGGCTCTACGCAGAGGTCGCCGCCATAAGTAGGGGTCATGGCCGGTCCTATTAATGTCCCATCTGTTCCTGCACTGGGGTTGACGTCAAGCCTGATTCTGGTTCTCAGTCAGTAGTGACAGTCCTGTTTCCTAGTCGGCAGCCTGGCCAAGGCGTGGTCCTGAGCTCCCATCAGCCTCCTCTGTCTCCAGATGGGACCTGCCTTCTTGTGTGTTTCTTCTGTTGTTGTTCCTTGTGTTTGTGTCTGTGGCGGACAATGAAGATATATCTTCACATTCATATTCACAATGTCGTTCACTTTGTCGCGTGTCATATTAGTCTTTCTTTAAATGTGAATCCACTGTTACTCTTTATTTCATGAACTTCAAAAAGAATAAAATAAAATCAAAGATGTGGCTTTTGCTCTGTGACCTATACTGTATGTGAAATGGCATAGAGCTAGTAGTTATTTATTACCAGGGATTAAAGTGGGTCAGAACAATCTGTAAGAGTGTTCTGGCACCTTTGGTTAATAAGTAAATAAATCACACCATTTAAACAGAGAGTGAGACAAGTGAGCGCGCACACGCACACACACACACACACATATTCATGAGGTTACTATAAAGATCAGCTCTGCATGTGATTGAAAAAGAGCGATGTCTTAGGAGCTTTTTCTGCATCTGATTTTCATGATGTGAACAATTCCTGAACAGCATTCAATTAAAACTCCATATTTTGTTCTTCTTCTGTGTTTTATTTGAAGTGTTGATCCATGAGAAGATATATTTGTGGTTTTAAGAACTAAAAACCATCTCAGTGTAGTTTTACATCTCCTCTCTCAGGCTTCTCTCTGGAGCTCTACTAACAACAGGTCGGTGAGCCAATCAGAAGAGAGGAGGCTCTGAGCCTCTCTTCTGATTGGCCGACTGTTTTCTGAGTGATTCAATAAAAATAAAGCAGATTTCAGGTAAAAACACTCAGAGAGACCAAATCCTGCAAGGTTTGGATGGTGGGTCCAGGTGGGCGGGGCTTGGTGACTGCTTTGTTGTGACATCACAAAGTTCCAGAAGTCCTGACGGCTGGTTTTAAGGCTCAGTTTCTGAATACAGGCTGTGTGCATTTCTCTGTAGACTGAGGCTTTGATACTTTCACAGTATTAATATAGAAGCTAGACCTGATCTATAATCACACTACACATGGACACAGACCTTTACACTGGAGGAGCTTTAAATAGTCTTCATTATCCACCTTAGTTGATCTCATTTTGGACGAGCACACCTAAATCAGAAAAAACTAAACTAAAAGTGGAACAAAGCTAACCTAATTTATTAAAGTCATTTGACTGATTTACCGAACAAGAGGAAAAATAAAAGTCTGACAGGGGAATGAACACGAGCTACAGAATTCAGAAAACCTCTTTTGTTCAGGTACAACCTGGATGCAGGAGATCGCCCCTCTGATCATGAGTGGAGGAGATCCGGCCTCCGTTGAGACTCTTCCTAACTGGGACCGTGTTCCCTGGCTGGAGGTGCGCCGGGCCTCTAACCTGTACCTGTCAAAGAGGCCGTCTCCTCGCATATTTGCTACACACTTCCACTACAACATGATGCCCCGGGGCTTCTTTGAAGTAAAGCCAAAGGTACATTCTGTGTTAACGGGTCATTAAGACATTCAAATTGGCAGCTATCCAATGTGTTTCACTGCTGGTTTAGTAGGAAGTGGTTGCTATGTCGTTTCTAAGTAGCTAGCATATGGTTGCTATGGCGTTTTATGTGGCTGGTAGTGTACTGCGATTGTTATAGGTGGTTACTAATGTGGTACCAGATGATTGCTAGATAGTTGCCATAGCAACAGGAGGTAACCTGAAGGCAAATGTCCAAATCACTCAGTGGTCAAGTGAAACAACAGCCATCATGAGGACATGTTCACTTCCTGATTGGCTCCTTCCCTGATTCGTCGCGCTCCATCACATGACCCTTTTCACAAGAAAACAAATGGCATCAGCCACAACTACCAGTGGTGACCGCAACATGGATGAGCAACCAACTACAGAGTAGATAATTTGCTTCCTGTTTACACCGCACATGCTCAGTGCACGTGAATGGTCATGTGATGTGTTTTCAAGAGAATTAGTATGGACGGAGACAATTTCTCAAACAGAGAAACACTCGTCTGGAAGGAGCTCGTTTTAGCTTTAAAATTAAAACGAATTATGTTTTATTGAGAAAGCAATACTTCTGTCTTTATGTAAAATGTACACACGGTTAGAAAATGACTCAGGAGCCGATGCTCCAAACGTCTCTCCTGAAGAAACAGTTTGACTCATTGTTCAGAGGTCTTTGATTTACAGAGGGCACACAAACACAACATACAAGACGACGTCAGACAACAGTAGTCACAGCAACCGAAAAAAAAGATGCTAAAGAAAGCTATGTTAATTAATAAATTAATGGATGTCATATGATCACTGCAGGTCATCTACGTCATGAGGAACCCCAGAGATGTGTTTACATCTTCCTTTCATTATTATGGGATGTCCTCCTTCCTGGTGGACCCAGGCCCACAGAGCGACTTCCTCCACAAGTTCCTGGATGGAAAAGGTCTGACTCAGTGTTCAGTATTAACTCATGATATAATACACAATACTGTGTGTCAGACAGGTGGGCATGTGTTTACCATGTGCAGTTCAAAGACCATGACGTTCAGTCCAAAGGACTTTCTATAAATAATTGATGACAACGTTATAATTCAACACATTAACTTTGTGTTTGTGATGTTCCCTCTTCCAGTTGCCTTTGGCTCGTGGTTCGATCATGTGAAGGGCTGGCTGAACGCTGAGGATAAAGACAGAATCATGTACATCTGCTATGAAGAGATGATCGTGGTGAGATTCAGTGACACTCCTCAAACCTTCCTCCTCAAATCTCTGAGACCTTTTCTGAGCAGCTCTGACCTCACACAGTCGCACTGTCCCATCACTGCTGTGCTTCTCTCTGGTTCAGGACCTGAAGGACTCTGTGTCCAGACTCGCTCAGTTCCTGGAGAAACCTCTGGACTCTGAGGTGATAGAGAAGATAGCAGAGCGCTGTTTGTTCAAGAACATGAAGCAGAACAACATGTCAAACTACTCTGCTGTTCCTCCCCAATTCATGGACCAGACCAAGTCTGAGTTCCTCAGGAAAGGTGTGTTTCACTGAATAATACTTTACCTACATTACGAAATATTCACTCAAAATAAGGAAACAACATGTTGTTTATTCACGTGTGATCTGCTTCCTCTTGTTGTGTTTCAGGAATCGCTGGAGATTGGAAAAACCAGCTGACAGCGTCAGAGGCGGAGCACTTTGATACAGTCTACAAAGACAAAATGAAGGATGTCAAGTTTAAATTTGTCTGGGATTAAAATAAACTCAATGAACATATGTAATGAAAGTTGGAGAGGAGATGTCACAGCAATGCTAATGTGGCTAATGGTTATGGTTAGATTGTGTTTGTTGGCTCTCGTGTTCACAGGGAAACTTCATCCAGCTTCTTGTTGTTTGTTTAATGGATGATTTCATCACTAAGATGCTGGTAGTCTAGTGCGACATCTAGTGGCAGATCGTTTACAGAACCTTTAAAAATGTGAATCCATGATGACGGACTCCTGCAGATTCTCTGCTTTGATTAAATCAGGACCTTTGTCTACAGAGTGAATAAATCAGTGACCTGTGAACTAAATGATGAGGAACAGAAGTCGTCTGTGTTTATGTTTATATATACATGTATATATTTATCATTTAAAATTCAGACTCACACTGATCAACAACATGGAACAAACATCACGTCCAATCAAAAAAAAAAAAAACTGAACAAGAACAGCAGCGACGCTCTGACAGAGTCGCCGCGCTTCAGTTTGTGAAACGGGTCGTGTTGCAGTGACGTCATCGCATGTAGGACTTGAACCGTCGTGTCCCGGAAACTGACGTCATCAGTGAGTAAACTCCTCATTAACAGAACGCTGCATCACTACATCAGTAATTATTATGATATGATAATGGGAACTACAGGCAGGTGACACATTAAAGGAAACATATTGATCAAATACTCATAAATACAACATGGAGAAACATAATGATGTGAATCATCATCTCCACCCCTCAGGTTTGAGACTCTCCACCACCATCACACCGTTCATCCGTCCAGAAGAGTTCAGAGAGGTGGGGGCTGTGAAACGAGGAACGCTGAAGCTTTATGTGGATTTTTTCTTTATCTTGTCTCTGTTGTAGCTGAACGCTGGTCCCCAGTTCCACCGGGACAAAGCTCATCTCATTAGTGCATGTCGTCCTCCTCAGCGACTCTGAACCTGAATATTCAACCAGCTCTGATGAGTGTGTCTGTGCTGCTGCAACAGTCTCTCAGTCTGAAACAGTCAGCAGTCAGTCTGTATGGCCTTTGCCATCCAGTCACATCTGGCCAAGAGTAACCTCAGTCTGTCTCCGGATGACTGGATCAGCTCCTTCCCACTGACAGGAACAAAAACACAGAAGAAGAAGAGGAGGAAGAAGAAGAAGGAGAGAAACACAGAAGAAGAAGAAGAGGAAGAAGAAGAAGGAGAGATGTAAAAACTGAGATCTGATATTAATTGTTAATCCTTCAGACCTGGACGTGAGTCCTCCTCACCTCTCGTAGTCCAGTCCGAGCAGACTGACTCCGTTAACGGCCAGGATCCGGTCTCCTGGAACCAGCTTCTCACAGCGAGCTGCAGGAGAGTCCGGGACCACGGCACGGATGAAGACGCCCTTCACCCTGAAGGAGGTGTCCTGGAACAGGAGGTCAAAGGTCACTGATGATGAATACTCACAATGACACTGTTCACACGCTGAGGTGTCATGTTCTCCATGTTAGTTCAGTGTGTTAGCGTGCTGATATTTGCTAATTAGCAGTGAACACACAGAACAAGTTTCCATTACGGAGCAGAACGTCTGTTTGACTGGCGCTGTGTGATCCCGCCCACCGCCAGTTTCCACACCCAGATATGAAACTTAGCTGCAAACACAGCGTGTCGCAGCAGTGGAAGCCAGCAAAAGAACTGGAACATCTGGGCAGATGTTCCAGTTTAGATTCTTACCGACCTGAAAAGCTGAATGATCAGAGACGGAGTAAAACGGGTAAAATGTCAGAGCTGCATGTGAAAGATGGAGACAGCTGAGAGCTCAAGACTTCAAGATGGACGCCAACAGGTGAGCGTTGAGCTGCAGGTAAAGTTAGCTAACCTCAGGTAATTAACACACTGTTAAGTCATTTGTTTAACGATCTCTGTCACTCACCCTTGTGTCAACCAGAGCAAGACCGAGTCCTCTTTCCCCTCGCTCCAGCTCCAGACTGAAAATCTCATTACTGCTGTCGTCATAATGGTCCTCCTCCTCCTCCTCCTCCTCTTCCTCCTGTTCCCCCTCTTCCTCTTTAATTTTCTTCATATGAGGACAGTCTGATGTCAGACGGTCCGCTCTCAGCGCAGACAGACACTCAAACACTAAACCACCTGTAAGAGACACACAGAGGAGTTCAGTTCATTTTCCAGCGGAAGAAAAGATGAACGGTGACGAGTGTCTGTACCTTCATCATCTACATCAGAGGAGCAGGGCAGCGTCTCACTGTCGGCCTTCATCCTTTTCTCCTGGTCTGTCTTCACCTGGTCCCCAGGCTCCACGACGTGGGGGGTGTTTGGAGGGGTGAGGAGACAGGACGGGTCCAGAGCCGACCTCCTCACCTCGCTGCTCGTCATCTCTCGGATTTGCAGCTCCAGATGTCTGAGCTTCTGGGACAGGAGGACGGCGCCGCAGGAGCTGAACTCGTCCAGGTAGTGGGTGGAGAGAGGGGAGGGGGGTGACGGGGGTGATGGAGGTAAGGCAGAGGGGGGTGGGTGGTTGTGGAGAGTCTCCTGAAGACAGGAACCACTCTGGAGGATGAATGACATCAGAACAAACACACATTTTAAATTTACATAATTTAAAGGAGCAGTCTGACATTATTATTATCATTAGCTCATTAGCTCATTAGCCTTGTCGACGGTTAGATGATGATGACGATGATGATGATGAAGATTGATATCACTCTTATGTCTGTGCAGTAAATATGAAGCTAGAGTTAGCATCACGTTAACAGATTAGTCAGAGCCACACTAGCTGCTTCTACTGCTTCCTGTCGTCATGCTACGCTAGGCTAACATCATCACTTGTTAATATAAAATATTCATTTTAGCAGCTTTAATGTTCTGTGTGTGGAATTTAAATTTTCTATCCCATCAATGGTACAACATCAAAAAATAAAGGTGAGTGATTTTCTTTTTCCTGAGAAGAAAGAAAGAAAAAACATTATAAAAATGATCGTGTAATCTCAGTGTTTAACTGATTAAAACACATTTCAGCCGAAAGAAGGAACAGTAAACTCATTTTTTCCCCCTGTGGAAATCTTTTTTTCCTTTCGATGGTTGTTTTATACAGATGATAAAAACAAAGGGCTTCTGTGAGTGATGCTAAAAGAATATTTCAACTCTTTATTGACTTTCTTCCAACAGTACAGGGAACGACTGTTCAGACACTCTGCAGAGGGCTTTTAATTTGAAATGACGGATACAGGAAGGAGACACACGAAGAGGACAGAGGACAAGAAGACAAAAAAAAGAGAGAGACAGAGAAAGGAAGATTTAACTAACTATCATTGAGTTAGATCTTTATCACCTGTTGGCGTTCACTCAGGTGTGACAACGCCCCCACCCCAGGTCGTTTCTCTCACCTGCTGCTGCCTGGTAGCTGTGACCTCAGAGGACCGAGGCTCAGGCGGAGAGGGGATGAACGCTCTGAGCTTGTCGAGCTGGTCCCTCAGACCTGGATCTGTTACAGCTCTTCTCACTTGGAGCTGGTACCCCCCCGCAGGCAGCACCAGAGGGTGGTGGGTGTCAAAACTCTCCAGGACGTCAGCTGAGGAAGGACAGAGGATGATATTGAAATAAAGAGAAAAGAAGTGAAAGATTGTACATGAGATGATGATATTCGTGACTGTATTCACCAGCCAGGGTGACGGTCTCACCGGTTCCATGAGCTGCTGCTTCGTCCTGAGCCGACGGAGTCCACATGTGTCTGCAGGGGGACGCTGGGCTGTACAGACCCAGCAGGTAGTTCAGCTGAGCCGGTCTCAGGGAGGGGTAGTGAGACCGCAGGGACGTCCAAGATGATTGCACACACACACACGCACACGCACACGCACACACACACACACACACAAAACACATGAAGAACACATCCGGTGAGTTGAAGCACCAGATTTTCCCACCATGACTGATCCAGTACTTCATCTCTCATGTCAGGTGACCTCATAAACAACAACACTCCACAGGAACACACACGAGATTTATTCTAAAGGAAAATTTACTTAAGTTTTATATTTTAATCTATTTCTTTCCCGCCATAAATAAATGCTACTATATATCTCTATTAAACCAGACCAGTGTGTGTGTGTGTGTGTGTGTGTGTGTGTTACCTGCAGTAAATTCTTCCTGGGTGTGGCCAGGAGATTGATAGCTGAGGAGAGTGTGTGTGTGTGCTCCAGTGCCGGTTCTCCCTGTCCAGCTGCATGGGCCCAGTCCAGGACCAGGTCCAGATTGGCCCTGATCCGTACTCCTCTGGACCACTGGTAGAAACCTGGCTCTGAGCCTGTGAACACACCAGGAGAAAGTCCTCTTTCAAAACCTCCTCCTTCTTCTTTCACTCTGGTTTCTCATCATGAAGGTCTGAATGTTTTTCTTTGTAGATGAATGTTGAAGTTACAATATGTTGTTTCTGAGTTGGAGCCGCTCTTGACTCCAGACAACCTGAGCACGCTCAAATCTATCATCTGTATTTGTGTTAAAAAAAAAGTAGATTTTTACCATAATCCAGAACTACCACAGCAGCAACCGACCCAAGCACTGAGCAGCCGTTTGAGCCGATCAACATCGGCCCATTTTCATTAAAATACATGATCGGTGGATCAGAATAAATACTTCTAGTCACCAATCACCTGAAAACCGATCACCTGTGATTAACACTCTGGTCTCTGGCTGAGAGAAGCGCTGTGTGCTGTGTAGTGTAGACCGGCTTTGATCAATGCGCCGGCAAGCGACAGTCCTCCAAAACAAAACAACATGTTGCCGTGTGGAACTTTTACAAAGTGTGTGAGACTGATATAATGTGATATAACGAGATATAACGAGATATAACAAGATATAACGCCAAGAATGATGGTTATCGGCCAATCTCACCTTGGCAAAAAACATGATCATGTTATCCCTACTACCAATGTGTGGTTCGTTTCTCTAATAAGAACCAGAGTTTTCATTTCCTGTCATTATCACAGTCTTGCGTTGTTCTGAGCTGCAGTGAAGGATTAAGTGTCAAAGATCGGTCAGTGTGTGGCTGTGACATATTTATTACACATATTATATAATGTAGATGTTATATACAGATTATATAGGTGTTGTAACAGAGCTTCCTGTGTGTAGGTCTCTGGTACCTCTCTCCATGAGCGAGTTGACGAGCGATGCGTTGATGAAGTAGAAGACGTAGCCAATCAGCTGAGAGGAAATCTCTGGATGGAGCTGACAGTCTGAGAGCAGCACCCAGGTCTCGTTCAGGACCTCCACAACCTGCTGGATCTCTGCGGGAACCTGCGGTCCGCTGCTGCTCTCACCTGGACTCTCCCTGAACGGGTTGCAGTCCAGGAGTCCAGGTAGGATGGGATAGAGGACCTGAGGAGACAGAGGTGTTGTCATGGGAACTGTGCGGCTCAGAGACTCTCTGCAGAGTGTTGATCATTCCTGTGGGTCAGTGTGAGGTTGGAAAAGTTGATGTTCTGATCTCTGGGATAACCTCAGACATGTAGCCCTCTACCCCAGACCCAGACCACCCACTCTGCCTCTACATGTCTCTTTGCTTCTCACACTGCTACAGGAGTTGATATAAGATTAGTTTTCCTCTCTCTCAGCCAAAGGTCCTCTCTGCTCTTCACAGCGAGCCCATACAACCGCGGCTTTGTTCGGGTTAATTGTACACAGACATCCCCTCTCCCCTCTAATCTCTCTCTTACACCCACCACGCTTCCAAGGCCAGCGCTGCCCGGAGATCCACATTCCTGAAGAGCTGAATATGGCTCATGTGGGCCTGGCACAGCTCTGAACAGGACTGCTGAGTGAAGAGTTCTGGAGGAATCCGCCCTGAACAGATCATCTTACATTTACTGTAAGGCCCCGCAGCCAGGGCCGCAGCCGGGGTCCAGCCGGGGCCCAGCCGGGGCCCAGCCGGGGGCCCAGCCGGGGTCGACTTAACACGAACAGTACAACGTAACAGCCGCAGCTCCCGTCACATGAGACAGTGGAGCTGGGTGAAGACTGAGCCAAATAATCCTGCTGTGTTTCTGGTTGGAAAATGTCACTGAGCGGAGCCAAGAGGACTCATTCATTCAATAATGCCAGAGTGACCACACAGCACCCACGGCACGTATCCTCCAGAGTGTGTGCTCGCCGCTTATTTCTGCTTTCATTGTGACGGGCAAGTAAAGGCACAGACTGACCACAACCCTGTTTAAGAGCATGTGTATTCATCAAGACACGTCTCCAGCAGTGGCGCCTTTTGTTTTCCATCCTGCAGTGATGACGCTCACATTGACGGCCCAGAGTAAACAGAGTTAAGACAATGTCACCACCATCAGACCGACTGCACCACAGTAAACACTGACACTGTGTCATCACTCTGCACTAAGTGAAAGGATAAACACTGGAGTAAATCAATAGGCCTTTAGCCAGGTTAGTCCCACTCTTGACACCGGTGACTGTCAGTCCAGGACAGATGTTGGTCAGAGCCTGCTGTGAAGTGACAGGTATAACACCTGGATCCAAGAAAAACTGACACTGTCCTCACAAAATAAAATGTGCATCCAGGATTTGTGTAAAGATCATCAAGACGTCACCCACAGGTTTCTAAAGCCCAGAGTGAGCTGCTCCACTGTCACCATCTTGGCAGTGTCTGACTCCGCCCCCTAACTCCCAGCTAAACCAAAAATGGTCAAAGAGGAAGGACGTGTGTGGAGCTGAGATTTCAGTGAACGCCAGTTTGTGGCAAGCATACACTCACCCATCCGTCACTCAAAGAGGCCACGCCCTCAATCCTCCATAACTTTAGTCCTTAATAAAATGTAAACAGGTGAGTTATATAAACAGGTGTAATGAAGGAGGACATTAGCTCTAGAGACCAAAACTGTTTTTGTACCAGGCTGTAAACATGTTTATTTCTGCTGTAAAGTTGGACATTTTAACATGGGAGTCTATGGGGACTGACTCACTGTTGGAGCCAGACTCTAGTGGTCGTTAGAGGAACTGCAGCTTCAGGTTCTTCAGTGTTGATGCGTCATGATTGAACTCTGTAGGAAGCTAGCTCGAGCTAAAGGTAATTTACCAACTTGTTCTGACCTGTTTTCTGTGACTGAAAATTTATTTTGATGCTCAAAAACAGATAAATTAACTTGTTAAAAGGTAAACTCGTCTAACTTTTTTGTTTTTTAGAATAAAGTATTGTTTTTATTTTGTATATCATTTGTTCACAGTTTTCAATCAGTCTTTTTTCTGTTTACTTTTCTACAAATACAAACTTGAATTTCTCCTGCAGATTTATTTTACACATATAAAGGTTGATTTACAAAAACAAACTTTAGCTTCATCTCTTTACAAGCGCAAAATCTTTTTGAACCTAATTTGAGCCCATAAATCATCATATCAAAACTTTGTCCAAAACCTTTTCATATTCATAAATCACTGTCACTGTGCTCTTAAATCATCTTTGTATACATAATACAACAGAAGGGTCAATCTAGATAAATGAGATGTATGATTCATATGTTTGTGGGCGCCTCGATGGCTCACCTGGTAGAGCGTGTAACACATGGGCTTAGTCCTAACTGCAGCGGCGATGGGCACGAGTCCGACCCATGGCCCTTTGCTGCATGTCGTCCCCTCTCTCCCTCCCTGCATCTCTCTATCTCTTACTATACTGTCAAAATAAAGTATGTCATTAATATTGGTTTTGATTTTTTTCCATTTTCCTGCAGACTTTATTTTAAGTGGGGAGTTAACGCGTATGCGGCCCCGGCCCGGTCGGGGAGGAATTCAGACCATAATGCAACACATCAATTCAACATCAACTTTAAATGAAATCCTGCAACTTAAATCTTCATGAACATGCTGTATTATACTCCTGCATTATTTATGGATTTACTGACTAACCACATCTGGAAGTCATCAGCTGCACCGGGCAGACTTGTTGAGAGAAATATATGCTGACTGAGAGGAGGAGTTAGAGAACCACATCCTCCTCTCGGAGCAGGAATGTGCTGTCTCAAACCTGCAGGACATTTAGGAACATGGAGGAATTCCTATAGTTTCCTCTGTAGAGATACAGTGTCATATTCTTCCTGAGTGGGGAGGAGGAGGGGGGAGGGGGCATGTGAAGTCCAGTTGGCAGGACCTGGGACCCTGGTTTGGCTGCTGCTCCTGTCAGACCAACACTGTATTAATGGTATCTGTGATGTGGCTCAGTGCTGGACATGGCTTTCTGCAGCTCTGGCCCCGAGCTCATCGACTGGGCGTAGCTGGTTTGGATGATCCTGGTCATTAGAGGGGCTGTGATTCTGCTTCAGCTCAGATACTAACTGAACGGTACGACATGTTCACTGTACGAACTTGAATAGATCAGGCTCCTCGTTAGAGTTTTCACCCACAGCTCCTCTGGAAATTTGTCTGAATCTTTCCGAGCTCAATTTCATGTAATGGGTTTGGAGCTTCAGCGAAACTGCACACAACTGGATTCTGTGGCTACAATCACATACCATGTTCTCTTTTTCCAAATAATACACTGTGAGAAAACAACAGGACTGTGCACAGTCAAATTCAGTATGTGAACTTCTCCTATTTACCTCCACAGACAGACAGCCGTTACACAAGAGAAGAAAATTATGTGGCGTCAGTGAAACTCTGGCCAGAAATTATTTTCTGTGAAGTTATTTTTTTGGGGCATTTTTGTGTCAGAGAGACAAGAAAGATATAGGACTGAGGGACTGAGCATTAATGGTACGTGCCTCTACCAGGTGAGCTACTGGTGCCCGAGGGATTATCTTTCCTATTACCTGAGTGATGATGTGATGCAGAGGAATGCTATCTATCTATCTATCTATCTATCTATCTATCTATCTATCTATCTATCTATCTGTCTATCTGTCTATCTGTCTATATGGTCAACACACGTGTTTGTGTGACAGTTTCAGAAAGTAAAACATGTCCAGTACTTCATCAGTATATCCAACCTCACAGCTGATCAAGTGAAATATTAGAGGCTGCAATGCAAAGCTTCTTTGGCAACACTTCATTCCTTCATCCTCCCCAACACACACACACACACACACACACACACACACACACACACACACACAAAGCCCTTGGTGTCGTGTCTCTCCCCCCTGTCATAATGCCCCCAGTGTAGTCTGGCAGTGAGGCTGTCGGCACATTAGAGGCTGTCAGAGCGGCTCACTGGGCTCTTTATTCTCTAATTATTTACTTTCTTAATCTACACATCATCATGAGTGAGAGGACTAGAGTCTGAAACTAGAAACTGGTGCACTGATATATAACCATCATTCCTTAGAGAACCATGACATTATATCAGTGCTTACCCAAATAAATTACTCTAAATAACACACACACCTTTAACCTGTGTGCTTGGGCATCGTCTCACCTTGGTGACGTAGTACACACACTGCTGGAAGGCCAGCATGACGACCTCCTCCAAAACCGCCATCGTTTCCTCACTGGCTGAACGGACACAGGACAGACGGAGCGACTACATGGCTGAAAGGACACACACACACACACACACAAATACACACTTATCTATAAATATCTGTAACTGATGTAGGTGTAGCTCAGCTCAGCTCCACTAAAATACTGAACATATCTTAAAGGTGCACAAGGTATGTTTTTGCCTTTTTTGGCGTCCATCCATCCATTTTCTTCTGCTTATGGTTGGTAATGGTGGCAGCAGGTCAAGAAAAGTGGTCCAGACGTCTCTCTCCACGGTAACACTTTCCAGCTCCTCCTGCGGGATCCAGAGGTGTTCCCGGGCCAGATAGGATATATAATCCCTCCATTGAGTTCTGGGCCTACCCCGGGGTCTCCTCCCAGTCGAATGTAGCCAGAAAACCTCCAAATGAAGGCGCCCAGGAGGCGTCCTAACCAGATGACCTAATCACATCAACTGGCTCCTTTCAAAGGAGCAGCGACTGTACTCTGAGCTCAGCTCCCTCTCCGCCACGGCGGTCCAGAACTGCTGATGCCGCACCAATCGGACTGTCAATCTCCCGCTCCATCTTACCCTCACTCATGAACAAGACCCCGAAATACTTGGACTGCTTCAGTTGGGACAACAACTCAAGAACCATGGCCTCAGACTTGGAGGTGCTGACTCTCATCCCGACCACTTCACACTGTCCCAGTTCATGCTGAAGGTCCAGGTCCGACGAGGCCAACAGAACCACATCATCTGTGAAGAGAGATCCAATTCTGATGTTCCCAAACCGGACACAGTCCCCAGCTCGGCTGCGACTTCTGATCCGGTCCATGAAACAGGATCGCAGACGAGGGACAACCTTGGTGGAGTCCACACTGAATATCTGTTAGACTTTGTACCGAGATCACGGACGCAGCTCTCCCTTTGACCGGGCCGGATGGTTCTGATCAACGGCTCCGATACCTCATACTCCTGCAGTGCCCCCCCCCACAATCTGGACAAAGCTGCCCCCGAGTCTTCAGACTCTGTGTCCTCCACAGAGGACGTGTTATTCGGGTTCAAGACGGACACAGACCTGTGATGGTCATGATTTAAGCTGATACAACATACAACAGTGCAGCTTAATTGGTCATACGGTCACATGACCATTGATTTACATACCTAAGCTCTCCGCCTCCTTGCTCTCATCATCTTCCCTTTCTTCATCCTCCTCCTGCCCCTGCTCCTTTCTGCTTCTCCATTCCAGAATAAGAGGTAGCTGGTACTGGATGAACTGCAGCAGCTCCAGACTGTTGGACATCCACACCACCAGGGGGCGCAGTCCTGAGATCACCTCGGGCAGGCTCAGAGGCTGGAGGTCCTCTGAGTTTGAGTCTTCACCACTGAGACTGTAGAACAGGATAAAAGATCTGCAGTGGACTGTAATATAAGAGACTGCTGAAGACAAACTGTAAAGTGCACTTACGCTTCAGGCTGAACTGCTGCCAGATCCTTAGTGTGCTCCTGCAAGAAATAAAGGCTTTGTACATCAGTACAGGAAACGTGATAATATCATGACAACAATGTTCATTTATAAGTAGGAAAACAATACTAAGAAGATGGAAGTTGAGACAAAAAGTATAAAAAGTAAATTAAAAAATCAATAACGGAAGATGCAAAGATATAAAAACAGATCACTACTGCACATTCAAAATGTCCATAAACGTGAGTTTTCAGGAGAATTTCTAACAGAAGACTTGGCAGCTTAAGCCCCCCCAGGCAGTATGATCCACATCCAGTATCTTTAATTGAAAACAATGGAGCTCTTATTGTTTATAATCTAGATTTTAGAACAGCCAATAGAAACCAAAGTCCTCAGGCTGCACCAGTGAAATGAAATCACTAACTCTTTAAAAAGTTGCCAATTACAAAACAAGTCTGGAGCAACTTGTTAGGGGGTGTACGGTCACGTCAGACAACACACCAAGGAATCATGTGAACATAACAAAGAAATAATAATGGCCTGAGGATGAAGTAAAAGTAAAAATGCTGCATCACAACAAACTGTAAACACAACGATAACTCCTCACCAACACATTGTTATGGAGAAATGTGTTAGCAGGTGCTTATTTACACATCCCGCAGACACTGAGCAACATTAGCATCATTAGCATCAAAATTAGCCACCTGATGAATGTAAGTCTGAGTAAGACTTCGTGTGAGACGCTTCGATCTGCGATTGTGCGTTTTCTAAAATTGATCTTGGGGCTGCAGCTCACTCTCAGAGGAAGGTGTTTCTGCTTTAACAGCACCGCACTGGACAGGTGACAGGTGTGTTACCATCACTGCTGATCGGAGCCGGAGCTGATAAATATCCGGTACCACTGCAGTCATGTCAATGAAGATTGAACCCTTTTCCATTGCCAACAAAAGGCCAATGTCAGCGGGTCTTAGCGGGTTTTTTGAGAAGCTTATGAGTGACCTATCATCTCTTTACAATAACTCACCCACATGACTCTCTGGATCCCACTGGCAGTGAGCAGCAGGAGTCTGCGCAGGTCCGAGGTGTGAAGACATGTGGACGAATACTGAACACACATACACAGCAGAAACGCTGCAGTCAGCACCGGTCTGTCTTTGACTCTGGTGCTTCCCATAGCAACGATCTCCCTGACGATGCGATCCTCGTCCTCTGGGTCATAGTTCAGAGTCAGGCTGTGGCCCTCAGGTGACTGTAAAAATGGGGGGCCCCTGCTCAGGGGCTCTTTGCTGCTCTGGGGGTCAGTGCAGGGGGAGATGCAGCTGTTGCAGAGGATCTTGTCTGTAGTGGGGCTTGTTCTAGTGGTAGAGGTGCTATGACCCAACATCCAGGGGACAGCAGACCAGCTGGGCTCAGGGGCAGAACTGTTCACCTCCTTCATTTCCCAAGAAACAAGAAACACAAAGATTGAAACAGGAGTTATATGAACAATATCACATTCAAAACACAAAGTTTAGCCTCTTCAGGATATGTTAAACAATGTGTGTACAATCTGAACTCATCTCTGGGATGGACCAGTGTCTCACCTTGTGCATCAAAGCAACCGGATCCTTGAAAAGAAACAGGTAGTGTTGTCCCAGTCCGATGACATCACCAGGATTAAGCCGTACTTTTTCTCTCAGGACTTCGCCGTTCCTCGTGACCACAGCATCCTGAGAGGGGCAGAGCACGGTGGGGCCGCCGGGGCTACGGCGATGGAAGCAGCAGTGTCTCCTAAGGATGTCGTTGGCGAACAGGAGGATGTCAGGTTTTGACCCATCTTCATGATCACTTCTCCGGCCAATGACAGTTTCGAGCCCCACAAGTAGGTAGATGAGGAAGTCCTGCGTGGAGAGAAAAATTATGAGTTAGCATTAAATCTGAGAAAATCTGAGTGGATATCATTCATTTATAAAGACTTTCTTAACCGCTTCTTCTCCTGATGCTCTTTTCTTTGTTTGTGTAGCCATTGTTGCTATCGCTGCTCATATGAACTAGCGTCTAAGCTAGTTTCTCCTAAAGTTTAAGTAAAGTTTTTTTATTTTGCCAAATGAATTAAATCAATTTGTCTACAGTGTGTAATGGTCCCACAGAAACTCCTACCAGCAAAGATTGGAATAGAAACATTAATCATTTGATCTGATGGTCATATAAACTTTACTGGAGCATTTCCATTTGATGTGATATTATATTTCTGTTCCACTATAATATTATACTTTTTACACAGTGCTTGAAGTGGGAAAAAAAGTGTCTGAATGGAATTAACTGGTTTGATTTCTGTGCTGTTCTCACCTGGGAACTGATTCAGTAACTGTAGTTGGTGACCGTTGACGTTCTGACGTGCTGACGTCAGTGTAGTGTCTCATCTCCAGTCTCTAGAGTTTCTGTTACTGATAGTTTATTGCTGCTGTCTGAACAGTTAATATTGCTGTTTTCTCCATCACAGTGACTAACTACCTGCTGTACATTTAATTCTGCTCCAGCACCCAGAGCTCTCTGCTCCTTTCACTAATTCAGTTGTTTACATGCTGTCCAGATCAGTTAGCTACTTTAGCTTAGCAGTTAGCGCTAGCTTCTCTCTCTCTCTCTCGCTCGGTGTGTCTTGAACCAACAGGTGAACGTGTTCATCAGAGTGCGGTGTTGTTGTAACTTCACTGTAGAGGATTGTGATGTTTACTACAGCTTCAGTGACGTCTGCTGTCTTACCTTCGACACACAGCTCCGCACTTTCACCTGACCCGCAGAGTCAGTGACCAACTGCGTACACAGCAGCCTTCAACGTGATAGGCTATTACTCGTGACGTAAACCAATCAGATGGTGCTGTGGGCGGGACATCTCCCGACAAGTTTTTTTTTACAAAAACAAATCGCCCAGATCCTGGAACAGGGAGTGCAGAAGAGTCCCGGCAGCTAGTGAGAAGTTCCGGTACGCAAGAAAAAGTAACGGTACACTAAAGACTAACATAAAGAAGTGCCGGTACCGGCCCACTTCAATCACTGCAACTACATTTAGTTTACATTAATTAGTTAATTGGCAGATGATTTCACATGTGAAACATATGATCATAAATTATGATTCATTGTTGTAGATTTAAGGACCAAACTGTTTATAAAGTGGTTGAAACGAGCTGTGTACGGTGGCCCTGAGAGCTCAACACACAGCAGTTTAAGAAAACACATGAAAACAGAAAAAACATGAGCTGCAAATACTCACAACACAACAGAAGTGTTTCCAGGGGAACGAAAAAAGTGATGAACTCTACTGGGACACATTTGGGTTGTGTCTGAAATCACTTCCTCCTCCCTCCTCCCTCCTCACCATGGACAAGGGCTTTACACTGAGCTCATTGACACAATGAAAAAACTCTTTCAGACACTCAGGTCATTTTCTCTGAGCTCTTTCTTTCAGCACAAGAGCAATGCATGATGTATATGTTGCTTGGTTAGTGACCACTGATTCTTCACTATTTTTCATGATGCATTGTGGGATACTATGAGTCAACAATGTCGGGTATAATAATCAGTCCCAGCCGGGTTTGTCACTTTTATGTGTCCCCGGTTGTCTGTGCTGCTTGCAGAGTGTCTCTGTATTTGTGTTTTCTTCAGCAGCAGTGTGTTGAGCTCTCAGGGCCACCGTAGCCACGCCTTAACCAGCTAGTGTAAGCAACATCAAGATATTGCTTACACTTTTAAAATGTATCAGTAATAATTATCAAATCATATTCTACAATAATCTGTAATTACACATATTCTAAAGGGGTCAATCCTGCATAATACATACTTTCACTTTTAATACTTAAGCACATTAGCTCCTGTTACTCCACTGAAGGATTTCACCACTTTAACTGATGTGTAAACCTCCTGTGTGTATTAAGCAACTTCTGGTCAAAATGAGTAGAAAAAGTAAAAACCTGGAGTGAAACTGAGTCAATGTTTTGTTTCATCAATCGCTGACAAAGAGCAGAAAATCAGAGACTGAATATTTAGCAGCAGCTACATAACAACAGTCCCTTGGTTAAAGCTCCACAGTCTGATCATGTGGAGGTATTAGAATTATAGTCCTGATCCAAGCCTGATTAAACAAAGAGTGTTTTATCAAATTTAGTGAGTGAGAACAATGAGCAGGATTATTATGTTTGACATGTCTCTTTTCCAACTGGACAGATTTAACTCAACACACTGGCAAATAAACTCCCTCTGATAAAACCCTCAGTAGTCAGAATCACAGCAGAGTGTGTGTGTGTGTGTGTGTGTGTGTGTGTGTGTGTGTGTGTGTGTGTGTGTGTGTGTGTGTGTGTGTGTGTTGTCCAACATTAAAAACCACCAGTAATCAGTCAGGAAGCAGAGCCTGGTTTTGTCTTTCTCTGTTTCCTGATCAGTGTTTTGACACTACATTTACTTTATGACCTTTGTCGTAATGATTCTGCCTCCGTCTCTGTTCACACTGAGACAACAGGCTGATGGCGGCAGATTTACCATCAAAATTTCACACCAATCTTTTAATTCAATGGCTCCTTGATTTTACGCAGAGGCAGACAGTAGCAGGACTCTTGTTTCCAGCTGATGATCTGATCACCGGCTGAAATGAGGACTGCTGCTGGCAGTTTGTCAGTTGTAGCTAAGTTAATTAAACTAATGTTAATGTTTCTTTATAACAGAATTTGACAACTTTTAAATGAAAACTATAATTCTCTTAAATAAACACTTGACCCTCTGATCATCAAATCAAGTGTTTAACCTTGTTCACCTGCAGTGAACCAATGACAGTCTCATAGAAACAGATTCGGGTTCATACGTCACAAACCTAAGGAACCAATCCTGTCACCTTGTGGGGACGGGGGGCGGGGCTAAATACACCTGAAACCATGTCAGTACAGAGAGAGAGAGAGTTAGCATTAGCACAACCGCTAACACTGTGTCAGCCACTGCCAGTTACAAGCTAACAAACAACATAAACAAATAAAAGATGCTAACTGTGCTAACAGTTCTGATCCGTCTGCTAGTCTCTGGTTCTGGTCTCAACAGACTCCTCCTCTGAGTCTGGGTCTGACTGAGGCTCAAACATGTGGCTGAGTCTCTCTGATGTTTCCTCCTCTAACCATCTTGATGCTCTCTGCTCTTTCACCTGTCCACCTGGAGCAAGCAGGTGGTGGGCGGGGCTTAAGGCCTGATCCAGAGTTCCAGATCTATTAAGACTCAAGCTAATGCATATCTGGCAAAAAGTCAGCAAATAAAGGAAAGATGTTTCAGTCCTATGAGTATGACAAAGACCATATCTTGTTCTAACGTATCCATGTTTGATTAGCTTGCAAACTTTTTGTCATATTTTTTTAATGTTGTGTGTTAATTTTCGACATAATAAAATAAAAATCTTTGAGGGCGAGGACCAGGGTGTTTGTTAAAGATAACATTAGCTGGAGTGTGAATTTCCTAAATCCAGCTCAGGACACAGTTCTAACTGGCCTAAACTTTGATAGCATCCAGAGCTGTACCTAGATAAACTAGTTAATGATGTGCTCCCTTGGAAGGAATGCCCGGTTACTACTGTTGGCGGTGAGCTAGTTAGCTGAACGTGCTAACAGTTGTAGCAGATAAAGACAATGTTCCTTACACTTCTGCTGCTGTGTTGTTGGTTCTGGAGAACAGTACACCCCCCTCCACATTCTTTAAACAGAGTGTCACTATCACTGCAGCCACATTCACACCACCTCCACATGTGGAGCTAGACAGGCCTGATGAGTCGTGGTAGGTTTGCTGAGCTGTGTGTGTGAATGAGATACCTGTGTGGGGCTGCAGCCCTGCAGCAGCAGCAGGTACGGACAGTCGTGAGGAGGGTGAATGGCGTACTGTGTGGCGTTATCGTCGCTGCTCTCCATCCCCTCCCTCTGCGACTCCTCTCCTTCCCGCTCGCCTCTCGGCCTTGACGGACAGAGGGTCTCTGTTTTGGCCTGAAACCCCTGGGGGGGAGTTTCCAGGCTGTGAATGTGATTCTGTTCTGGGCTTGTTTTGGGGCGCTTGCAGCTCTGCGGTGACGTTTGATTCAGGCCCTCGCCTCGATCCTTCACACACTTATCGCGATCTGCGTCCTGTTTGGTCTCTGTGTCAGAATCTAAAAGGTCCATCTCACTTTTGCTCCTCCACAGTTTGTGGCTTCGACCCACGGTCCTGTGTATGAGGGTGGAGGTCACTCTGGAGCGGCTCTTCTGCAGCTTTCGAGCCTGAGCATTGATGCCTGACAGGGACATGAAGAAGCAAATAAGAGAGTTGGGAATGCTGTTAAAGCCGTGGGCTAATTGAGCAACTATACATTAAGCACAAGTGTAAAGGAATGTGGTGACAGGGCAACACCTGTTTTTTTTTCCTGAGGTATGGTAAGTGTGTGTGTGTGTGTGTGTGTGTGTGTTTGCTCATTTGAACATCATGTGTTTAGAGGAGCCCCACACAGAGCTCAGGAAAACAGAGTTCAGTGGAAAGAATGACAGAGCTCATGGAAATAAAAAAAAAAAAAAAAGTTCATCTACACAGCAGGCATCCGCAAGCTGGCACTGATAGAAGCTATCACAGGCTGCGTCATTCATAAAAGCAAAGCACAAAACAGGACACACTCTCACACCATGACCACAGCTGTGTCAACCTCAGCCAGGGCCTCCAGGAGAAACGATAGTGGGACTGACAGACAGCGGTCCGCCCTGCTCGTTAGGCAGAGCCTGCAGTGTTTGCGTGAAGCGGCCGTGGAAAGTTTGGGGTATTTTTCTGTTGCATCATTCTTTGTAAATATCAGTGAAGAGGACGTTTTATAACATTTAGTTTAAACAGAGGAGACGTGTAAGTGGAACAAGTTTAATTAGATCACAGGATGTCTATAATGGTCATTAAACTTAAAGTTCCTCAGACCATTGTAAAAGCAGTGAGGATGAAACATGAGCCCAAATTTGTCACAGAAATTGAAAAGAACAAACAAAAAGAAATTGTGGAGCTATTAAATACAATTTGGTCTGTGTGGCTTGGATGATTTTCTCTGGAAAAACAGCGTGCCAACAAACCACATTTTTACTGTGAGAGCTTTAAAACTGGATTTAATACTGACAATACTGACTTTATTTCATGGTAAAAACTCCACCCTGAATCAGGATGTGGTCCCTACAGACAGACACTCTACCAGCAGTGATGGTGTCTTTGTCTCTGGACGTCTTCTCCTCCACCAAGCTCCTCCTCTGGATCTCGAACCGTCTCGCCAGGCCCTCTCTGGGTTTCCATAGTGACTGCAGGAGGAGGGGCTTCTCGTTGTCGCCGACGACTCTGAACCCTTCCGTCCTCCACTGATGTTCGCTGATGGAGCCGATGGCATCGCAGAGAACGTAGGACTCTGCTTCCTCCTTGCCCAGACCGTACCTGTACAACACAGTTGGTTTACAAATTCTCGTCAAAATGGTCAAACAGCTGGATAAAAACAGCTGGATAAAATTTATTTAGAACTTGAGAAGCATCCCTGTACTTTTGGAAACTTCTGGTTTCTTCAATTGTAAATAACAGTGTCTACTCTGCTTAAAGTCCTTGTGTAGGATTTGAAAATTACAGACTCCTAACAGTGCTGCTCACCACTAGTCATCCATTCCCCCGAAAGCTTCTGGAAGCAACATAGACACACCAGTTTCTCCAAGACTGTCTAATATAACTCAAAATATATGAAATAAATAAAATAATAATATCAAATTCAAAATAATTTGAAGGCAGCTATGATTACATAACAATTTAACCAGCAGAGGAAGACTATGAGATGGACCCACAATTCAATGCATTCAAGGGTTTTATTGCTACAGTCTTAGTCGGTGACCAGTATCTTATGGCAGCTGATGTTAGCTAATGTTAGCTAATGTTAGCAGACTTGAGATAGATATTGCTACTTGTGCTATTGCTGCACTACGTATTAGCATTTACCATTAACTGGACACAGTGGCTGCTGTTAAGTTAGAAAAAGGCTTGCTATGCAAACCAACACAACAAGCTGTGAACACAATATTGATTTATTATCACATTATAAAGTCAATACACTGAGCATGTTAGCGAACAGTTACAGGAGTCATGTTTCCTATGTAAGTCCAGTATTCACTCTACGTTTGGTCCTACTAAGCTAAACAATCAGTTATATTCCAGAGCCAAACAGCAGATAGACAGTTAGTTAGTTGCTAACTGTCTATCTGATGCTCAGAAGGTTTATCAGAGCTTTTCTGCTAAAAATAAAAAAGAGATGTGGAGAGGTGCTGTCAAAGCCGTGTCCTTCTAACCAATCAGAGAAGGCTAAAGTCAGGGATGGGAGCTCACAGCTGTCAATCAATACATGCACATGCACTACACAGCTTCTGTGGCTTCAAACTAGCATTAGCTACCAGAAGCAGTCACTGCGTCTGGTTCACAGACTAGCTAGCTCCTGATTCCTGCATGAGCTGAGACAGTGAACACGACGAGGATGTAGGGCGGAGCACAACAGAGCAGGAGGAGAGGGAGGGGTGGAAAGTGGTTTAGTTTTGAGTCTCATGCTAGTGCTAGCTTGATTTTCAGAACTTGCATATTGTAGCTTTAAAGTTGTGGGCTGTAAAACCAAAGATGCTAAAAAAGCATCGTAGAGCTGAGGGGAACTGAAGTCATGTCAGACTCTATTGGTTCATCACTACATGAAAGTGCTTTAACATCGTACATGGTCATTACATCCATTATCAATATAAAAATACTGATTAATGTAAAACACTTTAATATGCAAACATTTAGAAGCTTTGACTCACTGGAGGGTTGTTTTTTAGCTGTTTCTCTTTCTTGCTAATCAAAGTCATATCTTATCATGATATTCCATTAAACCAGCATGTAAGAGTCATAATGTACTTAATGTATTTACTCACCCATTACTGACAACCTGATATTGATATAAATGTCACCGCTGCAGTGTAAACTTTTACTGAGGGAAGAGAAAATGATTCACTCTTTCCTCCACAAGCTGAATACTTGTATTGAACATTCCATTATGTTTTTGGCTGAGACGAAGGCAAAGCCTGACAGACGCTCACCCTGCGGAGGGGCCGCCTCTGAGCCGTGGCCGACACTGGCTGCCTCTTACACAGATCTGTGGTCTGCTCCAGACCTTTTCAAAACTACTAAATGAACTACTTTACACACACACGCACACACACACACACACTGTGCACATTGTACTGCAATTATGACAGACAGAACAAGCTGACCTTGTTCATCTGAAATATAGTAATCACAACAACATGAACATGCTAACCTTTCATCAGCCGTGCCAAACTTCTGTGAAAGACAGACAGTTCTGACTGATTTTATAAATATTCATGTAGCACACAAATATACTGCAGCAGAGGAAGCATGTGGACGGACTCGTATCTCACCCTGAATAGAGAAACATGGACACACATACAAAGAGAGGACACATATGGCAGGCAGATACTCACACTCACACTCACACACACTCACACACACACACACACGACATGGTCTTACCGTTCCAGGGCCTCTTTGACCAGCTCTTTTGCACTGGAGTGTGTGGTGGCCAGGACGCTCTTGTAGTGAGCTCCTTCACAGATTTCATTTCCAAAGATCTTCAGGATTCCTGGAGCACTAATCTGATTGGACAGCTCAGACGGGTCGTCCGCAATCAAAGGATCCGCAGAGATCACTGTGTAACACGACAGAGGAAAGACGTTTCAATGCCGGGGTTAGTTGTGGTTAATGAGCACAATGATAGACATTTACATACAGATAATGTATGTATGTGGCCTTACAACGCTGCTAACATCTGTCAGCGATGTGAAAAGGTACAATTGGTATTCACTCCCGAGTCAAATGATGTAGTAGTCCCTGGTATTTATCGGCTCCGGTTCCGATCAGCAGCGATGGAAACATGACACCCAGGTGAACCTAGGCTGTCAAGCATGGTGCTGTTAAACCAGAAACACCGCGCCTGCACCTTCCCCTGAGAGTGAGCAGCACCGACCCAGGGATTAGACAGATCCATGTTACCAGACTGACCAGCAGCTAACGGCTCACTGTCTGAATCCTGGTCGCCGACGACCAGTTAGAGCTAGAGCTAACTGTGTAGGCAGTTTGTATACAGTGAAACAGAGGTGCGTACCAACAGGAGTAGTGTCATGCAAGACCCCATGTTGAAATCTAGCAATTACCATTACCATGTGTATAGACATTTGTATGTTACTATAACAAACGATGGTTAGAGGTATTGCACTGCTATGTATTTACCAGATCATGTGATATGTCTCCCTTATTTTTATTTCAACACAATGTGAAATTCAGTATCAAAGACGTTTATCTCAATACTGGTTTTCTTTGTTTAGCCTGATCAAGTCCCACCCACATACATTTTGGTTTTTAGTTTCTTGAATGGATCAAGAAAATTATTGCATCCTGCAATTCCTATAATGCAACCCATAACCTTCTGTCAGACCCTCCTTGTCTGTTAAACACTCAAATCTTTCAAACTCCACCTTGTGATGCAGATTTCCTGATATAAATTTATAGTCTCTAAATCTCCTCCAGAGCCACAAAAGAAAACCGTTCTCTCAGGCAACTCCCTGCGACTAGTAAACTGACCGTAGTGTATAAAGTCTGTGGCTCTTTTAAAGTGAAATCTCAAAAAGACGCAGCAATGATTTATTAATGTAAAATACTAGGCGCAGCACCAACAACCATTTCTCTTTCTCTTCTCTAATCTTTCAGTGAGAACCAAGTGCCAGCACAGATAACGTAAAGACAATGTGACGTACTGCTGCCTTTCCTGGCCTGGATGGACAGCGATGACCTGAGACCTGCCGTCAGAGCCATGGAGCCTGGGCTGGAGGCGGGGCCGCGAAGGAAGACACCTGAGAGGCGGTTGGTATGGCGACGGATGCTGCTCTTGCTGGGCTGTCTGACGGCCACTCCCTCGGCTGACCTGCTGGTGGATGAACTGCCGGTGGATGAAGCTGATCTGATCAAAGAGGGAGAGTCCTCGATCAACACCTGTCCTGACTGCGAATTCCTACCAGCAGATCTGTACCTTTACCTGCGACTCTGACATCCTTACAAGGAGAACAGGACTAAGAACAATGATTGATGCTCCAGCAAAGGATGAAGTGAAGTTCAGTGGAAGGAAAAAAAAAGAAGCATGAAAAGAACTTTAACCATAAAATATTGTGTAAGTCAACACAGAGCCGTCCAGCCTGACTCACCTCTCCTCCCTCAGCTCCCCTCACAGCATGAATGAAATAATGAAGTGTTGTTTACTGAAACCAAGCTTGTAAGCTTCTTATCGCTGGTTCAAAGGTTCTCTGCAGTGACGCCACCACATGGATGTAAGAGATTTAAAAACTTCTCATTAAGGATATTAGTGAAAATATTAAAGCTTTATGATGGAATGATGAAGATGATGGAGTGAAGGTCATTTTGTAGTTGTGTGTGGCAGTTGAACGAATGTGTAAATATATTAAAATGTTGTTTTCAGATGTATTTCCTCTCCTCCTCACAGTGGACTGACTGCTATTTCTCAATTCATTTAAGAGCATAAAAAGAGAGTGACACATTCTCTACAGACAAAAAACAATAAAGGTCTATTTCCTGGTCTGAACATCTCAACTCTCACAGAACTCAGAGGTTGTGTTTGTCGCCCAGTTGTTCACACTCACTGCTGAGAGCCATCACTCGTCTTCCTCCCCAGCTTCACGAACCGCCTCTTCGGGGAGGCTGCAGGTAAACTCGGCGGTCTCGGTGGAAGAGAACTCAGCTCCTTCATCCGGTTCATTCCTGTCCGCTGCACCTGGATGCTCCTGTTCAAGGGAAAGTTTCTGTAAGTGAAGACAGGACTGCTCCTACATGTCCCATCAGCCCGTCACGCTCCCAAACCGCTTCGCTTCATTCCTGGGATGTTTCATCCGGGACAGGCGGCAGAGAGCCGTTCAGCTGCTGCTTCATTTTACAAACTCTGGAACAGACGCTGCAGATGTTTCCAGCCCTCATCCAGCTGTTGTAACCAGGCTGTTCGACTCCAGCTACTCCCACTCGCGCGGTGTCTGACAGGTCAGATGGGTTAAATAAAGCTGAATGACAAGACTTCAGAAAGATCTAATCACAGTCTGTATCATATCACATGCAGGCTGAGGCAGGAGGAGGCAGTTTGTTTCAAATTCATAACGAACGCGCTCTCCAGATGTGCGTCCACGGCGCAACTGCCTGAAGGTGCCAAGTGCACATACCCATAGGCGGAGCGAAGGGGGGGGGGCTTACCGGGCTCCAGCCCCGGATGTTTTCCCAAAAGCACCCAATCTTATATGAAGATTATTATAACATTATTTACATTTATAATTTCAACTTGGTGTCACTTCCTCTCAGTCTCTCTGACTGGACCTGCAAATCAATGGAGCTCTGTTAGTACTGTACTGGGGAAATAGACATTTACAGGTCACCCAACAACTTGTGGAGCATTTGGGCTTTACCCAAAACACTTGAGAGCAAGGGGAAAGGACGGGACAACCTGTGGACCAGGAGAGGAAATAGGAATAGGAGAAGAGGTGATGAGGGGAGAGAAGAGAGAAGAGGAAGTCTGGATTTGAAGAGTGGAGAAGAGAGTAGAAAGGGAGGAAAAGAATGAAGGCGAGATGGATGAAACGAGATAAGAAAACTTGTGCAGGTGAAGAAACAGGGATGGGTATGGAGGTAGATTTGTCTCAATATCATTTATGTGAACTGATTGACAACCAGTGAGTAAATGTGTGATCTGTAAATATAAAACACCCTCCACAAATACAAAAAATAAATTTGTAAACTCACAAAAATATCTTGCAAATATAAATCTAAAATAATAAATCTACAAACAAATTTCACAAACAAAAACATATCCGTGAATACATTCAATTAATTTACAAATAAATGAAAAATCATTGGTAAATTTCTTGCTAATATTTACAACTTTCAAACAAACATTAATGAATCAATCTTCTTTTCTCTACGCTTGTGGATTTGTGTTTTATACAAACCTTCTTCTGGTCTGAACGAAAATAGGAAAACAAGTGATCGCCTGCTGACATTTCCGCTTTTCAAAATAAGAGCACGCAGTCTTCTTGGAGCTGTTTTATTTCCTCAAATAATCGGCGACAAGTCACGAGTGCAACGTTAACGGTTGTAAGAAATAAAGTGACAGAAGCTGGTTAAGGTCTTTGATAGTTTGGCTTTTGGTGTTGATGTTTGCTTTGAGAAGAAATGGCATATTACAATTTTATTGTTCATTGTTAATATGCAGGCTAAGCTAACGTTAACTACTAAACCGGAACCTGTTGCCAGGGTGACAGTAAACAGTCGTGTTGCAGACCGAGGGAATGAAAGCAGGGTTCTGACATCCCATACTGATGAAGACTGATTGTAAATAAAACACATTTCATACCCATCCAACCTGTAAAGAGATACCTGGTGTCATTTCTTTACCATTGAGTTTATTGTAATGATTCAGTCATTTGCATAATTGGTATTTTCTACATGTTGGCTATAATCAGTCGGCAGTTCTCAACATTTGTCCTGTAGTCACTGGAACAGCCAACTCATCTCTTACAGGTGGCAATAATAACAAATATGTCATAATGCACAATATTTACTAAATAAGTGAAAGAAAGGTTACAAGGTTCATTTGACACAGGGTTGTACAACAAGATGAGACCACCAATAAAAATATTTTTATTTACATGACATCTTATTTATTAATTCATTTACAGTAAATAATTTTATTCTGTTGAATGGAATAAAGAGAACGGCAACTAGCACTTCCCCATATACAATGTTATAAATATCCAGTGAAAGAAGACTTCAAATAAAGATAAATTAAACTCATCATGCAAACATACACTATACAAAAAGGTCAGTCACAATTTTTCTACCAAAACGAGTTATCACGCATGAATAAAGTGTACACAGTATACATTACACCTCATCCTAGACAAACTCCCCGGTGGTAATATGTTGAAATTGTTTAATTCATTCATCAATGTACAGTACAATGCCAGCTAGCAGCTTGCTAATGCTAAGGCTAATGCTGATTCGGCAGCTTAGCAAGCTTGCTGCCGAGGGGAAACAAAATGCTAATGCTAATTTTGGGGGAGGCTGCTAGCTTGCGCCCTCCATGGGCTAGCCGGGCTTAGCTTAGCCCCTGACTTTATATAGGCTCAAAATGATTTTGAGCTTGTAAAGCAATGTTTACAAATAATTCCAATGTTTGTAGTTGTAAATCAACCTTTGTAAACATGTAAAATAAATCTGCATGAAAAATTCAAGTTTGTGCTTGTGAAAAAAATTGAGCTTGTGGTAAAAAAAATTTGTATTTGTTAAAAGAGACTGTGTGAATCAAAACCGAAGCCGTGACCAGTGGTGAGGTTACACAAAGACAGGGAAAGAAGAAATGGCTGTGTGGATGTCTGTGTACAGATACAACAGATAAAACTCAGCACTCAACATTCCCAGTGTGTGACACTGACAAATACAAATTTTGACCTGTATAATGTCAGTGGCACACACTGTGGAAACTTTTGAGTGCAGAGTTTTACACAGTTTTCTGTTCTGTATTAGTACACAGATGTTGACAAAACCATGTCTTTTTTTATGTCTTTGTGTAACCTCAGCACTGATCCTTTGTTCATAGTTTTCATTCAGTCTTTTTCTTTTTTTTTTTTTAAACAAATACAAATCTCTTTGACACAAGCACATTCATTTTCCCCACATGTAGAAACAGATTTAATTTACAGGTTTACAAAGGTTGATTCACAACTACAAACTAATTATTGGGATCGCCAATGACTTACCATTTCTTGCTAGTTGTGGTGGGTGAAGGTGGATTCTGGTATCCCTGTGAAAACACATAATTATACTAAATAAAACAAACTTCACATTACAGGGAAAACCCGGTCATTTTAGGCAGCTGTTCACAATACAGTACTGAGTAGCATTTTTTTTTTTACTAAAAATTCATTACTCTTACCATTATTAACTCGGTCAGGTGCCAGTTATGCAGGAAGCTCCTCAAAGCAGGAAGCCGCGCAGCTCCAACTGCAGGTACTCTACAACTAAAAAGTTGGTCTCTGTGATTGGACCGTCGATGTCGAATCAGATTCACTTGGGCTAAAATTTGTACTTGTAACTGCAGCGTCAACCACTGGTCAGAAAACCCGCGAACATCGGGCTTTTGTCGGCAACGGAAAGGGTGCTATCGGCATTCACACCCGGGTCAAATGACTCGGCCGTAGACGCGGCTCCGGTTCCGATCGGGACTGATGTAAACTGAACACACGGGTGAACCCGCTAATTTTCACCCCCTTTCCTGCTGTAATGTCTTTCAGAGCACAGACACTGTAAACACACCTGTCACCTGTCCAGCCCACACCTGTTCTAACACACCGCGGGTACACAGCGCTCGGGGGTGAAAGAGTAAACGCAGCCCCGAAATTAGTTTTTAAAAACACATATTAACCGATCGGAGGCTCCGACACTTTTATAGGAGCACCGACCCGGAGATGAGGTGAGACAGATCCGTTTTACCAGTTTGCTTGGCGGCTAGGAGCATTCAGGCCATTAATGTCGCACTGTTCACACGAAGCATCAAGAAATTAACATTTTCTTGAAACACTTTGATGGACTTACCTCCGGTACCGGGCAGTTAATTTCTTGGGGGAAGTTTCAGAGTGTTTGGACCGTGGACTGTTCTCAGAGCCAGGTATGGGCCAACTGCGACCTTCCTGCTTTCTTTTTGTCTTCCGTATTTAAAGCAAAGTTGGCGCCTTTCGGCCAAATGCCCGTATGTGCGCAGACCATTAAAGCAGACAGATGTGCGCACCTCTGGTTTTTTCCCTCCACTCCCCGTTTCCTGTTCGTCCGATTTCCGAAAGTGTCACAGGTACGAAAAGTTTCTGCGTTTGTTTGTTCCCCACTTTACTTTTCTTCTGCTGTTATTACCATTATTCTGGAGAAAGACTCGGCCGGGTCTGGGCCCAGAGATCCGGCTGAAATGCGGTCCGACCGGTTTTCCGAGTCCAACAACCCACAACCAGGCCGGAAGCAGCCACCCGAGCCGGACGGCCATTAGACCTACTGCTCTGGCGCTGGGCCTGAACGGCGTTTGTTAATTTCCTGCTGTTTTCCCCACGTCAGCCCTTCACTTAGATACAGGATGGAATCAGATTACATAACATGCTGTCTTATTAAAATACACATTTATACACAGAGTAAACCAGCATCAATTCCACAAGCAGCAGCAACAATCAACAAACTGCGGCTGTAAATCCACCAGCAGCTGTGCACGAAGTTTAAGTTACTAATAAGTAATAATCGCAATGTTCATAAACGTACAGTTCATTATTATGAAAGTAATTTTGACTAAATCAAAGCTTTAAATGTCACATGTGTTACTCCTGGGCCCAAGGTCAGTTAAATCTGAATTATCTGTCCTAAAATAGAAATCAGAGATAATCCATAGATTAACACAAGGGGCTCTGACTTTGTGAAGAAACAACAGATATGATTTCCAGCAAAATATTGATTAAATGTCAAAAGTGACAAATGAAAATGTGGAATAAAGGAATTGCATTACTCTGTTTAATTGAGTCAGGCTACTGAAGTTATAAAGCTGAAATGACTTTGAGCCACTAAATTCCCTCACTAACCCATAATCTACAGTAGCTGTGTCCTAACAGCTCTCATCCACATGTTGAATTGGTTATAAAAATAACAGACTAAAATTATAAATATTAAAGTCATTATAGAAGCCTA